ATCGACTCTCCAATTAACAATTCCGAGCCCTTATCCATTACACCACCTGCACATCCAAGCTTACAGCACCAGGTATTCCAAAGCGGTTACCCATCTAGCTACTGACCAGGCTCGACGTTGCTTAACTTCGGTGATCGTACGGGAACTCGACTCTCCGATTAATAATTCCGAGCCATTATCCTTTACACAGCCCACATATCCAAGGTCACAACATCTTGTATTCTCAAGCGGTCACCCATTTAGCTACTGACCAGACTGGACATTGCTTAACTTTAGTGAACCAGTGTTTCTACGTGATATAGTCATAAGCCTCGTTTTCAATTGTGCACCTAAGATAAGCTTCGGGGTAAAGTTCTATAAAAACCAAAATACTTTTGACACATTCAAATATTTATTCATTAAGCTTATTTATCATGTTCAGATAAGAATGGTAAAATTCAGTCTATGAATTGGACAATGACTGAACTGTCTCCTACAAGACGCCATTGCCCTAGCCGCGATGATGAAAAAATAAAAGACCACTCATGCAATAATTTATTTTACGTAAGAGTGACAGATGGAAGCAGAGGCAGTACCGACAAATCATTTTTTACATCATCTGACATTTTTTTTTACAAAAAGATATAAATAAAAGTATAGATAAATGTATATGCAGTTGAAAAAATTTCTAGAATATTTTTTATTGTCTCAAGTTAATTTAAATTAATGCACATGACGTCAATTCTTTCTCTATCCGTCTTTTTGATTGTTTAACCGCAAATACATGAATATAGCTCTTCAAACGCTGCACCAACCATAGCGCTCTCTCTCTCTCTCCCCCCCTCTCTCTCTCTCTATCTATCTATCCCTGTCCATTATCTATCTATCTATCTATATATATATATATATATATATATATATATATATATACATTATTATCTATCTATCTATCTATCTATCTATCTATCTATTATTATTATTATAAACGTTGATTTTTCTTAAACAGCAAAATGAATATAAACCGGCTTAGATCGACAAGTCCTACTAAAGAAAATCTTGATCTAGGCCGGTTGACATTAATTTCATTGTTTAAGAATATATAACACAGGGATGCCAATTGAAACGCAAATAACCACTAAATAATATTTATAATAATAAGAAATAATGTAGGAAAAGAAAAATCCATATATATATATATATATATATATATATATATATATATATATATAAGGTTGTTTCATTAAGACGGATCAAAGTCGGCAGTAAATAAATCAGTGTTATTGGTGAAAATTTATTTATTTCTCTATTGGATCATAGCAATTATGTGAAAAATAATATCACACAAATGTCCGCTAAATCTGAAAGAAAAAGAAAAAAAAAGTCATTAGACGCATAAACTTAATTCACATTTAAAATTGGTCCAAGTTATTGGAACACTCTTTACACACACACACACACACACACACACACACACACACACACATATATATATATATATATATATATATATATATATATATATATATATATATATATATATGAATCAAATCGATGACTGAATTCAGTGGGGTCTGGGAAGTTTCTGAGCACCTTCTGCCACAAGTAAACCAATACCGCGAATAGAAATCAATAAAGAATAAGGCGAAAACCCGTCCGAAGCTGCTAAGAGGACGAAAATGGAGGACTACATGGCTGACTCGGAATGTGTGTAGTGTACACGTTCGTGGTTCGCATATAAAATGCGATTATTTACGTCTTGATTCGGTTATTCTGCTTCGAGTCAGAGTTGTAGCCATCACGAGTTAATGGCAAGGATCGCAATGCCACTTCCTCAGTCCATTTGCCTTAGAACAGTCTAGTATCTGTGCGTTCGACATAACTTATTCAAAGTTAATTTTAACTTGTTGTTCAAATAGTAGAACGTTTGTATAACGGATCCTCCATTACCTGTTTACTTCCAGGCCTAGCATTCGAATTCATTGGCTATTTTAATATATTTGTTTGTTTTACTGCGACACGAGCTATGGATATAAAACAAAACAAAACAAAGAAACATACAGAATAAGTAATTACAGCTTTGAATCGACATAAATTAGTACATTTTGTGATGAACTCTTTCAAGAAAGAGTTATGCATATATGTATTTGTCACTTTGAATCTAGTTGACCTTGGGTGAAGAAAGAACATTATTGACGTTATTTTTAACGACACAATGGCATAGAATTTTTCTATTCAACAGAGACATTAGCCCAAGCAAATATCGTCAGATTGACGTATTATTGCATGAATATGTGTTTTTTTTTTTTTAAGTAAAAATTCCAGTATTTATTTATTTTTTTTCAAATTGGACATTGGGGACCCTGTCAGTAAACTTCAATTTATCTATTAACGAAAGTCCAACGCTTTTGTCACTTTTACTAATGTATATCTTGTTAAAAAAATATAACGTTTATAGTTTAGTTAGTTTAGTTTTTCCTTCCATTTGTGCTGTTAGGCGTCGCGGGGAGACACAGTCGTTTGTCAGCAGCAAGGCAAGTGGCCTAGAGGAGAGATACTGAGTCGTTCCAGTGCCTTCTTGGCCTGCCTCTCGCTCTCAAGGCAGAGTACCTAAGGGTGTATGCTCGTAGGGCTGCTTGGTTGATACACATACGAGTGAGGTGTCCGAACCACGTGATCCTCTGTAGTTCGATATGTTTTACGATTGGTATTGCTGATGGACAACGACAGGGTCCAGCTGCAGGAACACACTGACCAACTCAAGCTGCAAGAAATACGACATGACGATCATTGTCAGCAAAACCGAGGTCATGGCCGTCAACAAGAGACCAGAAAAAACTAAACATTGACATCAATGGGACCCATTTAAAGCAAACCAGTGAATTCGGAGTATCTGGGCAGCATATTTACTGAAAACAGCAAACTAGGCAGAGAAATCGAGACCAGATGCCAGAAAGCCAACGTAGTCAGTTACCAACTTGCTCCTCTTCTAAAACATCCTAGCATTCCCATGAGCACCAAGGCAAATCTCATCAACGCCATTTTCCTACCAACGCTTATATACCATTGCCAGACTTGGCTCCTAACAAAAAACACTTGAGAGTAAACTGGTCACTTGTGAGACGAAATGCCTGAGGAAAGCAATGAACAAGACCAGGCGAGACAAGATCAGGAATGAGGCAATAAGAGATATGGTAGGAGCAATACCAATCATACAACGTTTATAGTAATAAGTAATATCTGGTGAAAAGATGGTCTCCTGTGGACAAAATGGTAGCCACGTATTTCGGCTGTGGTAGCGGTTTTGAAAATTGAAAAAACAGGGATAGCATCTCAAACACGTGGACCCACTAAAACGTTTATATTAATGATATGTCCGATAATATATATATATATATATATATATGCATATATATAATTATCATATATTACGCATATAGTGCTGATGTTAATAAAACAGTGCCCAATGTAATACAACAGAGCTATGAAGTATATATGAAGAAATATACATATTATTCCTCACCGATAGTACGACTCGGAGTTTCATGCACAACGCAATCTTCAGGTACTATCGGTGATGGATAATATATATATATATATATATATATATATATATATATATATATATATATATATATATATATATATCAAATATGTGGTGCAGTTCAATTTATATTACAATGAATCATTCATACAAAAAGTAGATTAGTAAAGTTAATGATATAAAATGGCGAAATCCCTTCACTAACAAAATTTTAAAGGTGCATTAAGCTACAAATCACTCGATGAATGTTGTTATTTTGTTTTTGTTAAAATTCAGGTAGCATCCGAGACGAAAAAAATATAATTTTACCAAAAACAAAATAATTTCCATGCCTGAAGATGACTGAATGTACAGTTGAAAGTACTTGTATATTAAAGAAAGATCTTATACAGCCTATAATTTTTAAAAACAAGGATCATAATATTCGTCGAGTGATTTGTAGGTTAATGCATTTTTAAAATTTTGTTAGCAAAAGGATTTCGCCATTTTATATGATTAACTTTACTAATCTACTTTTTGTATGAAGGATTCATTGTAATATATATATATATATATATATATATATATATGCAAAACTCTTCGGTAAAGTGAATCGAGTTCTCTCAGTCACTATGTGTTTATCTAAAAATAAATATGCTTAAATTCACCTTCATCCCTGACGTGCGCCAACAGCTTAGGGGTAGAATCTCCGACTGACGTCAATTCAGCCGGATTTCGATCCTAGCTAGAAGCAACTGGACGTCTAGCCAAACTGATGAGCTGCGATACAGCGAAACAACCTGTCTGTGGATGGCTATATATATATATATATGTAATTCTTTTATGTATGAAAATGCGCTCTTTTATGTTTAACGTTTACCTACTCTCCACAGCAAGTTTTCTGTTAATTCACCCCAAATAATGTAAAGCTACGAAAAGCTTTACATAAGAGTCGAACATTTGAAAGCCCACTTGTATGGCTCCTCGGTTCCCTGAGGTGGGGTTGGTACTAATAATATTAGGCGAAGCTGCTGTTGGCCTTCCCCTCAGGCAATACCTCTTATTCGTGATGGGGCTGGGTTTATAACACAATGCCCGAGGTTCCCCCAAAACGGGAATTTCTCCACGCTATTTCCGTCATACCAACTTTTAACTGGTTCTTGTGACACAATCGGTAGTGACGAGGTTGTACTGAAAAATACCTCGCTCGTCGGCTTTTTGGCTGGGAGAGGTTCAAATAATATTAAACTGAAAACCTAGTGGGTCTTCGCACAGGCAGTACCTCCCCATTCGGGAGGGGACTGAGTTTATTACACGGTACCTGAGATGAAGTGAATGGTTCATACTCTGGGGAGCCAATCGTTTTGTTTTTCTCTATCATCAAGAAAAAAACAAAACTAAAACTTACCGAATCAAAATGATTTTTAACTTTATCTTTTCTAGTTTTTAGTAGCATCAAAAAGACCATCAAGATATTTAGGTAACAAATTAAAAAGACTGC